GTCATTTTGAAGCATGTGGAAGTTATTTCTCGTCAAAAAAGACAGCTACAAAAATCTTTCAAAATGGATTTTATTGGCCCACCATGTTCAAGGACACACATGCATTCTGCAAAACTTGTGAAAATTGTCAAAAAATTGACACTGGTCAAAAAGTTTTGTTTTATGATTCTCAACTCTATGCATTCCCTAAAGAGCTAAGATTAAGATGGATCAATCCTTATGGGGCATATGATATTGAGAATTCAATGAATGACAATGATTTTAAGAAAAATGGACATCGTTTGAAAGCTTACTTTGATAATTTTCTTAATGAAAATGAATCAGCTGGTTTGAATGATCTTGTAGATAAAGGTTGATTATTTTGTTTTTCTCACATTTTCTTTTTTGTGTTTCTTTTTTAGTGATTTTTGCTAGTTTCTCTCACCCCGGTCAAATGGCGGACAACGGTACTCCGTGACTTAAGTCGGTTCTTTCAGTTTCCCACAATAACTGATATTTGTGTATATATTTGTGCAATTCTTTGAATCTCTCTTCTAATTCTCATTTGAAAATGGACACTAATCTTGAAAAATTGAAAAAGTATTTTCCCGCTCTACCTTAGAATGCGATTACAAAAATTTACCGTGCTAGATGTGCAAAATTGAGATTGTTAATGAATCATGGAATTCTTGAAGATATTCGCTGGTTGATTGAAGCAAAGGTCCGATTATCAGGTGAGTCTTCTAACTCCATTTCACACATGCCTGGAACAGGTAAAAGCACTTTTGCAAAGAAACGTCGTGCAAAACGACTAGAAGTCTGTCATCGATGTGCTAGATGGACTTGTAATACACAATGTCGTTTTTTAGGAATGGTATCTATAAACCATGAAGATAAAATACAAATCATTAAGGATGGCCTGAGTAAGGAGTCTTTAGATAATCTTCTATTGACTCTTGAGACGCATCCTAGTGGAGATGTGCATTGTGCAATTCATGATTTATGGCCACTATTTCATAAAGAACATGATCGACTTAGTCTTGGGAATCTGACTAAAAAAGACCCTGTTTGCCAGTTTTTAAGAAAACTGGATGGGAAGCCTATCCCCGACCCATAGAGGGCGTTTAAGCCGTTCTTGGACGTAAAACCATGGGAAGATGTGAGCCACAATCACAACTACCTGTACATACACATGCTTGGTTTTATTATTGTGTTTTGTTGTTTCTTATATTTGTTTCAGTGTGTTTCAGGTTTGTTAGTGTTCGTTATTTTAGGTGATATCTTCTATACTCTATCTTTCTCCCTTAGAACATTGAGGACAATGTCTCGTTTTGGTTGGGGGGAGAGGGTAGTAGTTGATAAAAAAAAAATTTTTGTTTTTTATTTCATAAAGCATGTGCATAATTGTTGTTACTAGGATGGCAGAGTAAATGAGCTCTTTTGTTAAAGTGACTCTTGAGACGCATCTTAGTAACCATTCTTAACAAGGTCTATTATAATACTTCCTGAAATATTCAGATTTACAAACTCTCGCATTGTTACCACTTAATTCTGCTCATATACTTATTTAACATGTATTCTTAAACCTTAATTTACACACACACACTTTAACATATGATTGTGGGTTGCATATTGGATTATTACATTATTTATGTTCTTTTGTTAAAGGTAACAACTAAGGGAAAGGGATTGTATATAATTAAAAAAAAAAAAAAAAAAAAAAAAAAAAAAATGATGATAATAAAAATGTAGATAAGTTTGGTTTCGTAGCCTCCCTAACCTAAGCAATTAAGCTCGAAGGGGTGTTTTAATACCTAATACCCTAAAGTCAACTGACTTGGGAGCTATTGGCCCAACGCTTGTTACATGGGTTGAGGAGAAAAGCTTAAGGGAATCAAACATTGCACTATCTACATATCAGTATCTGCGACCCGAGTTACTAAGCTCGTAGGGGTGTCTTAACACCTAATGCCCTAAGACCAACTGGTCTGGGAGTCATTAGCTGAAAGCTCGTTACATGGGTTAAAGATGCATGCTGTTTTTAAATTATATGTATATATATTTAAAAAAAAAAGAAAAAAAAAAGACAAAAATAATAATCCCAGCCCAAGGAAGTTAACCTTAAACATTAGAACAAAAATTTTGTTTTCTTCCAAAAAAAGCCCCATAATTATGTGTTGATACATTGAGCACAAAGAAAGGTTTATTAATATCTTGTTAAGAGGTATGGAGCAGATATATAAATTTAATGAGAGTTTGTTTATTTGGATAGATTAATGGAAGTTAAATGATGAATACCTTGCTTTGTGAAATTTGCAAATTGTTTTAACGCTTTGATTACTAGGGACTAGTAATAAGCTGGTTGGGGGGTGTGATTAGTACTTAAAAGTGCATTTTTATCATGGTTTTATATCATCATTTTGCACTTGAAGTATCAATAACTCCTTAACCAAAGCATGTTTTATAATAATATATCTAATAATATAAGATACCTATAATTTATGGTAAATGTCTATTTTTAATGCAGGCCTATCACATAAATGAAAGGATTGATTGATGACTTGAAGAACTTAAATTGCATGGATAAAGAGATGGTCAAACTTAGAGAAGAGATGTCGGTGCAATCCAAACCGGAACACTGTTCGGTAATTGGGTCATATCTGGAGCTACAGATCTCAGATTTAGGTCCAATTTATATGGATGGAAAGGTAAGACATAGGCCTACAACTTTCATATGGAGCCCAAGATCTAAAAAGGCCATTATCAAGTCCAAATTGTAGCAACAACAAAGAAGCCCGAATCTGTCTTCCAGCCCGAGCACTATTCGGTATTTTGGCCATATCTGGAGTTCTAGAAGTCCAAATGAGCTGAAATTTTTACACAAGAAAGCTGAGACAATTGCCTACAACTTTCATGTTTACAACTGGCTCCAATTTTGACGTTATCAATGACGTTTTGGGCAGACAAGAGAAGATAAGGATTGTCACCAAGTCAAAAGTTGGTCACCCACTTATCAATTAGTCATCAAATCAATAGTTCCCATTTTTGGCCTATAAAAGGAGGCATTTGCCATGCATTTAGGCATCTTGATTTCCAGATCAAGATCATGCTCTTCCTTTCTCTCTTTGTATTTTTTATGCTTTGTTTTCATTAATATTAAGTTTATGCCTTTCATTTCCTTTCCTTTACTTAGTTAACTTTTATGTTCTTATTTTGTTTATCTATTTTGCTTTCTTTCATTATGTCTAGCTAAGTTAATTATGTCAAGGTGAAAAGGTTACACTAATGGTGTAAGAATAAGTATAATGTAAACTTAATATGGACTTTAATGTTTGATACTAACATGTTTTATATTTGTTATCTTGTTCACTCTTTAATACTTTGCTTGTTAAATGACTAATCTTGATTTATGTTGTATAACACTTGGTACAACAAATGCTTGGCACTTTCATAGCCCATAATGTATGGTATAACCGACACCTGAGCTATGAAAGGAACTTGATTTATTGTTAACATAAGTTATAATCATGAATGCTTGACGAGATTTACAAGTATTAGCATTAATTGAATAAGATGACTAATGTAATCATGTTAACAATATATAATCTGATTGGAACCTCCTTTGTGTGTGGTTTCCAATTCAATAATAAGAGTTTATACTATACTTGTTTGATATACCATTAGTGGAACCTCTAACCTTGACATTTGTTATTATCATTGTTTAATCGTTACATTAATATTCCATCTCAAAGTTCTCATCTTCTTCTTCTTCTTCTCCTTCTTTTTCTTTATTATTATTATTATTATTATTATTATTATTATTATTATTAGTACTACTACTACTACTACTACTACTACTACTACTACTACTACTACTACTACTACTACTACTACTACTACTACTACTACTACTACTACTACTACTACTACTACTACTACTACTACTACTACTACTACTACTACTACTACTACTACTACTATATACTTTTCCTGATCCACCGCTTCCTATCAGGTTGCTTTCTGTCAATCCTGACAATATGTTTGATTCAGTAAAATTCAACCTATGGAAGCTTATGAACTTCCATTCTGAATCCGATCTACGGTTTCTCTTCCAGTGAACTCTGAAAATGATGAATGCAAATAACAATGCTAACAGAAAAGCTGTAATCGAAGCACTTAATATCAAGGCTGGGAGTTGGGTTGAAGTTTTGCTTGATTTTTGGGGTCTGGAAATGCAAACCTTAAGGTATAGCGATGGCCTACTTGCACAAATACCAGGATTGTTCAAGAAGCTACTGGAATATGCTGCATTTTCATACTCAGCTGGGATTTTTCCCACGAGATGATTTGAAGAGAGATTGAGATATGTAAGTCTCAGCAAACCGAATTGAGTTGGAATGTCGCCAGAAAATTGATTATCTGACAAGTCCAGTTCGAGCAGGTGAGGTAGGATAGCAATCTCCTCCGGAATCTGTCCCGAAAGTTGATTTTGACTGAGGTTTAGAGTAGTTAAAGATTTCCATGAGATGATGTCAGATGGAAGTGCTCCGGTAAGCTGGTTCTTATCAAGTAAAAGAACCGTCAGATTAGGAAGAGCTGTTAATTCAAGAGGGATAGTGCCAGTAAATTGGTTATTGCTCGCATTGAAGACCTCCAGATTCCTCCAAGAATTCCCTTCAATGGAAATACTCCCAGAGAACTTGTTGTTACTTATCTCGAGCCGTGAAAGACTAGTTGAAATTTCAAGAGGAAGCTCTCCAGTGAACAAATTATCACTTATCATCAGTAGTTGCAAATTTAAAGCTGTCCATAAACCAACAGGAATATTGCCAAAAAAGGCGTTATTTGAAATACTTACTATTAGCAAAGTACTGCAATTCTCAAGTGATTTTGGCAACTCTCCACCGAGCTTATTATCAAAAGCTACCACGCCTTTTAAGCTACCTCCATGGCATAAATATTCAGGCAGGTTCCCTGTAAGCCTATTGGAAGCAACCTGGAAGTCTTCAGGGGCTGAGTATCGCCCAAGATCTGGAGGGATTGAACCAGATAAATTGTTGCTAAAGAACCGAAAATATTTCAATGCGGGAAGACGACCAATGCTTTCTGGGATCTGACCAGATAACTGATTGAAGAACAATCTCAAACCTGATAATTTGTCAAGCTTCCCAAAATCAACAGGTATTGTACCAGTCAAATTGTTATCCGAAAGATCGACAGAAGTCAAATTCAAAGCTTCAACAACCCGAGGAATTTCCCCAGATAATTTGTTCTTGTAAAGCCGTAGCACTCTCAAATTCATCAACATGAACAAACTGCCAGGAATATTCCCAGTTAGTTTATTAGAGGATAAATCCAAGTGCTCCAATGACACCATTTCTCCAATCATTTGTGGAATCTCGCCAATCAAATTCGCTCCGGAAATCCACAACGTCTTCAATTTCTTCAGCTGAGTGAAACTGGAATGCAACCTTGATGGAGAAAAGCCATTGTGAGCCATAGATAACTCCTCAAGCTTAGACAAGTTGCCTATTTCTGGAGGGAAAGTGCCGTTAAACTGATTTTCATATAGACGGAGAGTTCTTTGCTCTGGTAACCTTCCGATGGCTGCTGGAATATTACCAGAGAAGTTATTTGCATATAGGTTAAGGTATGAGAGGCGAGCCAAGCTGTCAATATCATCAGGAATTGTGCCAACAATATAGTTCTGAGAGAGGTCTAAGATCTCCAACTTGGACAGGTTATGTACAGCCACAGGGAACTTTCCAATAATATTGTTATTAGACAAGTTGAGAAATGTGAGGTTCTTAAGGTCTGAAAGAAGGGGTGGGATAGTTCCAGAGATGTTCTTGTTATCAAGGATGAGTTGAGTGACGTAGTTATCGTTGCAGACTACTCCAGGCCAATTGCAATGAGAGGAGTTTGATGGGGTCCATTGCTCAAGAGACAACGGATTTTGCCAGTGGTGTTTCAGTCTTAGTAGAACGGCTTGATCATGAAATTGGGAGTGTGCATGAAGGAAAAAGAAGAGGGTGAGGAAGTGAATTAAAAGGAAAATGGGGGCTATTTCCGACATTTCGGAGGGTTTGAGTTTGTTGTTCTGGTTTGAACTCTGTTATGCAAGATGAACTACAGAGAAAGACTGATTTATAGAGGTGAAGATGCTCAGATTCTGGGCATCTAGATTTACTGTATCTAATTGGTGTGTTTAGTTCATAATTTTATAGGCAGAGAGAGAAACAAGAGGTAGAGTTTTGGACACTATATGATATCCTTTATTGAATTCAACTAGCTATATTAATAGCGTTGACAACTAACATAAACAAAGCACATTTTAAGTTCATGCAAAAGATTAGAAATAATTGCAGAAGAATATAACTATTGTCGGAGAATAGTAACTGCTTCTCAACAAGACTTGGTCTTCTTTGTATTATTGAATAAACATAATTGCAATGTATTGCTAAAATCTTGTTCACTCCACTAATTAGTACTTAAAAATATATTTTTATTAAGGTTTTATATTATTATTTTGCACTTGAAGTATCAATAACACATTAACTAAATAATGTTTTATAATAATATATCTAATAATATAAGATACCATTAATTTGTGGTAAATATTCATTTTAAATATAGGTCTATCACATAAATAAAAGGATTGATTGATGAGTTTAAGAACTGAAATTGAAAGGACAAAGAGATGGCCAAACCTAGAAAAGAAATGGTGGTGCAGTCCAAATCGAAATACTATTCGGTAATTGGATCATATCTGGAGCTGTAAATCTCAGATTTAAGTCTACTTTATATGGATGAAAAGGTAAGACACAGGCCTACAACTTTCATGGGAGCCCAAGATTTAAAAAGCTCATTTTCAAGTCCAAATTATAGCACAAATGAAGAAGTCTGAATCTGTTCTACAACCCAAACACTGTTAAGTTTTTGGCCCATATCTAGAGTTCTAGAAGTCAAAATGACCTCCATTGTTTTTCTTGGAAAGCTAAGACAATTTCCTACAACTTTCATGTTTTCAAGTGGTTTCAATTCTAACGTTATCAATGACGTTTTAGGTAGACAAAAGAAGATAAAGATTGCCACCAAGTCAAGAGTTGGCCACCCACTCATTAATTAGTCATCAAATCAATAGTTTTCAATTCTGTCCTATAAAAGGAAGTATTTGCCATGCATTTAGGCATCTTGGTTTCTAGATCAAGATCAAGCTTTTGCTTTCTCTCTTTGTATTTTTGTAATGTTTAAGTTTTATTTTCATTAATATTTTGTTTATGCCTTTTATTTTCTTTTCTTTATTTAGTTAACTTTTATCTTATTTATGTTCTTATCTTGTTTATTTATTTTTCTTTCTTTTATTATGTTTAGGTAAGTTTATTATGTCAAGGTGAAAAGGTTACACTAATGGTGTAAGAATAAGTATAGTGTAAACTTAACATGGACTTTAGAGTGTGTTTGATATTGCAGTAGTTGTTGTGGTTATGGTTTGAAAAAGTTGTTTTATAAAAAATACTTTTAGTTGAGGTTAGTTTGAAAAAATAGGTGTTTGGTTAAAACTGTGATTGAAATTGAGGTTGAAAAAAAAATAGTTTAATGTGTTTGGTTAAGAATGTTTTTGAAATTGAGGTTATAAAATAATTTAAAAAAATATATATTAATATTGATAGTTTTTAATTTAAATACTGTCAATTTAGCTACTATTATTATATTATGAAATAAATAATACTTTATATAAAATATTTTTTATTGTTTTATTAAACTATTTATAATCCCATCACGTACAAAATTCATCGGATGAGAGCTACAGTTTCCATGGTTTTTTGAGCGTGCAACAAAATCAGGTAAAATATCATCAGAAACAAAATTGAAATTACGATCAAATTCTACAAATATCACGCTATCATGTGATCTACTTCTAATTTATATAGTGTTATTAAATAATATTAAACACTGATTTTTTTAATAAAATATAATTAAATATTAATTATTTTTTTTGTAGAGAGTGAATTAATAATTCACTCTCCACTGTTCACAATAGTGGAGAGTGAATTTTTGCAGAGAGTGAATTAATTCACTCTCCACGCAGACAAGGAGAGCACCTAAAAGACTAGGGGAAGCAAAAGGAAAATAGAAGGGAGGAAAATGGTTTCAGTAGGCCAGCCCTTCATCATCGTCATCATCATCTTCAAGTGTAAAAACAATTACGAAGACTAGGGGAAGAACAAAAGGAAAACTGTTAAGAATAGCCCTCATGGTTGAACAGAAGGAAAATGGTTTTAGCAGGTTAGCCTAGCTGTCTCCCTTGACGCCTCCAGTAGCGCCACGCTCAGGTAAGAACAGCTCTCATGGTTTTCTCATATGGACAAAATCCACCCATACTTGAAGCACTGGTCAAGGAAAGAAGATGGGAACAACTTTATACTGTGTTTATAAACACAATTGCATGAACAGGAAATGAAAAGCATCTAATTTATGCTTCAGGAAAATTGAGTTTTGAACGCAGATAAAGGTGGGGTCCATACATGAAAACTACGGCTCATTTTGTAACCAAACGATATGGTTTTCTATTGTTATTTTGTTCACTTTTTAATACTTTGCTTGTTAAATGACTAATCTAGATTTATGTTGTATAACATTTGGTACAACAAATGCTTGACATTTTCATAGCCTATACTGTATGGTATAAACGACACCTGTGCTCTGAAAGGAACTTGATTTGTTGTTAATATAAATTATAATCATGAATGCCTAATGAGATTTACAAGTATTAGCATTACTCAAATAAGATGACTAATGTAATCATGTTAACAATTTATAATCTGATTGGAATCTCCTTTGTGTGTGGTTTCTAATTGAATAATAAGAGTTTATACTATACTTGTTTGACATACCATTAGTGGATCCTCTAACCTTGACAGTTGTTGCTATCATTGTTTAATCAATATATTAATCTTTCATCTCAAAGTTCTCATCAATTTTTTTTTCTTCTTCTTAGAAAGTAATTTTTTTTGTAAAATAAATTCTTGAAAAATAAATTATTTTTCGATATTTGGTAGTGTTATGAAAAATAAATTGAAAAATACTTTACAATATTTAGTTATATTATGAAAAATAAGTTAGAAAATAACTTATTAATATTTTTTTAAGTTTATTAAAATAATAAGAATAAATCTTGTTGTTACCCATTTTTGGGCTCCCACAAAAAAAATAAAAAAATACAATACACACACACACACACACAAACACACACACACACACAAAATATTAAGAAGAAATTAAAAAAAATAATAGGATCAAGAAATAGGATGCTGGAATGTCAAAAAAGACCAAAATTGGTTGAGGAGGTTAAAAAATACAAAAGGTTGAAATTTAACAATATATTTTTGATTGATAAGAGCTCTGTTGACAAAGAAAATTTAAGTTGAGAAAGAAAAGTCTAAAATCAAATATTTATGGATTTAATTAAATTTTATATGAAGTTTAATTGAATTTATGGAGGGTTGGATTATAAAAAAAATTGATTTTTAAATTAATTTGAATTTTTATTAGAAAAAATTAAAGTTATGGGTTTCACAGCTAATGCACGCTGTTTCAACAGACAAAGAAATTTTTCAGCAACAAAAGCCGTAGATTGCTTCAGTTACGGGGAGCGTGTCACAGCTAATGCACACCGGCCATTACTATTTTCATGCAATAACGCATGCACCCTCTGGCTATAAAAGCCAAAGGAGAGACTGTTAGAGAGGATAAAAAAAAAGAGAGAGAGAGAGGAGAGGTGACAGTGAGGAAACACAGGAGGAGAGACAGATAGAAGAGGGGAGAGACTGATGAAAGAAAAAAAATAGAGGGGGAGACGATAGAGACATGAGGCAGAAGGGAAAGGAAAACACAAAAAAACAGAGGAAGAACGAACAGGAAAAAGGAGGAACAAGGGCAATAGGAGGGAATAAAGTCTGGCAAATCTCACAGGAACCAGACCAAGCAAAAAGAACCCGACGAAAGGAAAGAAACTAGAAAAGCAGTAGAATAAGTGAAAAGCCAGAGGAAGAAAAAGTAGGGAAAAGTAGAGGAGAAAAAGAAAAAACAGCCACTGCAACACCACTGCTTGTCGCCACCTAATGCCACCGTGAGCAATCACAGGAGACAGTAGCCACGATCACTCATTCCAGGTACCTCTCCCCTTCTCTGTCTCCTTTTTCCTGTTGTTTTCTTTTGCATGCAGAACGTGAACAATTCACGTTTTGCATGAAATGAGATATAATTAGCTAGTTATTCTGATGGCCATGTAGAAAATAGGTCTCATTTAATTTTCGGTTGATTTCAACCCAGTTTTTTTTTGGGCTGATGACACGACTAAAAGATTGATGTCTTCTCCCAAGTGCAGGATTGTCGAAGTAATAAATAACGTGGTAAGACTAGGGTCGAACCACAGGGAGGTGAATTGTACAAATTATAAACAGCAACAACAACAACAACAACAACAACAATAACAACAATAATAACAATAACAATAACAACAACAACAACAACAACAACAACAACAACAATAATAATAGTAGTAGTAGTAGTAGTAGTAGTTGTAGTAATACTAATAATAATAATAATAATAATAATAATAATAATTAAGAAAAAGAAGGAGAAGAAGAAAAAGAATATGAGAACTTCGAGATGGAATATTAATGTAAGGATTAAACAATGATAATAACAAATGTCAAGGTTAGAGGTTCCACTAATGATATGTCAAACAAGTATAGTATAAACTCTTATTATTCAATTGGAAATCACACACAAAGGAGGTTCCAATCAGATTATATATTGTTAACATGATTACATTAGTCATCTTATTCGATTAATGTTAATACTTGTAAATCTCGTCAAGTATTCATGATTATAACTTACGTTAACAACAAATCAAGTTCCTTTCATAGCTCAGGTGTCGGTTATACCATACAGTATGAACTATGAAAGTGCCAAGCATTTGTTGTACCAAGTGTTATACAACATAAATCAAGATTAGTCATTTAACAAGCAAAGTATTAAAGAGTGAACAAGATAACAAATATAAAATATGTTAGTATCAAACATTAAAGTCCATATTAAGTTTACACTATACTTATTCTTACACCATTAGTGTAACCTTTTCACCTTGACATAACTAACTTAGCTAGACATAATGAAAGAAAGAAAAATAAATAAACAAAATAAG